AATACAGCTAGCTGAAATATGATTGGTTAAAAACTCTACCATCATAAATAAGTTATTTATCACACACAGTCTTTGTACCCATCAAGCGTGTGTTATTTAAAATAACATTGAAAGCCACTCAACTAAGTGGAAATAATACAACGTAAAGAATACAGAGAATAATTTTGTTTACATATTTATGAAAATAAAATAACATAAATTATAAAATAACATAAAATACATAAAAGTAAATTTACTTTTCTGAGAATGTTTAGGCCAGCAGAGAAGGCCTTGCTGGCCCTGAGGGTCCGCCACTGAAATTACGCAATAGAAGAGTTTCTCCTAAGATGAAAGGGAAGGTTTATAAAACAGTGGCAAGGCCAGCCATGATGGATAGTTTTGAGAGAGTGGCACTGCCGGCACAACAGGAGGCAGAGCTGGAGGTGGTGGAAATGAAGACATTGTCTTCTTCATTTGAGGATAAAGTTATGTAGTTGCAAATTGGTGTATTGCTGGAAATCATGATGATATTTTCTCTTTCTGTTTTCAACAGAGGATAACATCTGCTCAGCAGTGTCCAAAGGTTATGTGTCTGGTCTCCTTCGGCTGTATGATGAATGGTACAGGAAGGACACTACACACTCTGCCATTGACGTCCTCCAGGCACTGCTGCGTTGCTTTTATAAAATTGCACGCAGTGCTCTAGGAAGAGAAACTTTCGTGTCCCATGGAGGCATACGGCTTCTTTATCATACAACTCAGGTACTACTGCTGCTGCTACAACAACTACTGCTACTACTACTACTAGTATTATTACCACCAATTCCTGTTTAGCGCATTACCTGAAGTTACTCTTTTCACACAAAGAAAGGCCATGCAACAGACTACCAATAGATAAGATTATTCAATCATACGGGATACACTGACTTCTGTGTGAACTGGAAATGGATAAACCTGGACCCCAATGCATCAGACCCACTCTATTGTTTGGCACTGTACATGCATGTTGTTTGACTTTGAATTGATTTATTCAGGGGCATAGCCAGAAATGTTTTAGTGGTGTCGCCAGGGTGACACAAAACCTCAGTGAGGGTTGGCCAAGGATGGCTATGAGTATGTCTGTCATTGTTTGTCATACCATCCACAGGTTGGGTTTCCTGAAATAAAATTCACAAATATCCAGAACAATGCCCATCACACTCATAATCAAGCATGAACACATCTAAGTAAAAAGCAACATTTTGCTGAGCTCAGTTTACTAGATAACACCATTTTCTTTGCCATTTTTTTCGCTTTTGTGTAATATCTCAGAGTCTATTCCAATCTCATACACTGTTTCGCTAGCTAACAGTCAATGAGAGTGATCAATTGTCACAGACGGCCGACACTATTTTGCATACTAGGGTCAATGGCTCATTTGTTTAAATTTAAAAAGCACGATGACAGAAAAGACTCTTAACTCTTCACAATTCTAAATGTTGGTTTTTACTGAGGTTTGTTGCTGCTTGTATTTTGAGTGTGTGAGCAAGACTGGTGTAGATGTGCGTTTTATTTCATGAAACTGATTGTGGATGGTATGATGAACAATTATTTCTCGGCCATGTGAGAATGGCAGAAAAATCACAAATATTCAAATTTTCCCCGAGGGATGGGGGTCGCCACAGAGTGACACTCTTGGCCACCCTGGAGCTCTGTCCTTAGACTAACATTTGGTTGATATAATTTATTCGAAGAAATAAGTTGAAGCGATAAAACTGAACTGAAAAGATGTAGAATGAATAGATATAGCGGAAATCAAAACTCTTAGTTGGAGACAATTTTGAGGCAAGGCACAGCAATGCAGCACATTTTTAGTTACTGTATATAACGTATTTCGTGTGTTCGTGATTTGGAAAAATTTATCATAAAATGCTCGCTCTACAAGGCCTTAATCACGGGTATGGAAATAAAGCCTTGTTTTTTTTCTGGATTTAAAAAAAATCACACAGGGTCTCACATAAGTTCAGTTACAGCTTTTCCCATCTAAATGCTGATGCACCATCTTTGCTTGCATCTTTGCGCCAATTTATTTTTTATGTATTGACGACCTAAGTGATTTATTGACCAAAGAAGCAGCATTTTTAAATCTATTCTACAGTTGCCCTGGAGCCAGTGTTAAGTCTTTAAGACTGGAGTAACATATTCTGATGTCTTTGTTCTGGTAAGAACCCAAGCTGCAGTGTTCTGAATGAGCTACCGCTTCTGATGGAGTCCAGTCCGAAGATCATTATAATAATGAAGTCTACTGAAGATAAAAGTATGGTTAAGATTCTCCTGGTCTGCTTGGAGCATGCAACCCTTCAATTTGGGTGTCTTTTTCAGCTGGTAAAAGGCTGTTTGGTTGATTGATTTGAGGTGACTGCTGACACTCAGATGCAAATCAATCACCACACCAAGGTTTTGATTTTCAGGCCTAAATATGTTTTTGATTATCATTATTTTGAAAAGCAACAAAACCCTGAGCGACTGTGAGGTCATTTTCAGCCGACAGCAAGTGGCAAAATGGCTTCCCCCTGAGTTGGGTAAAAACAGGTGGATTTTGCTGCTTAATTCATATTCCACAGATGCAATAGTCATCACAATGCCGTGTTTAGACTTGTGGGGGCGTATAGAATATAATAAAAAGTTTTTTAATTGAACTGTTGACAGTTGAAGACATACATAGATAGCTGTGTATCTTCTGCATAGCCTTGTTAACCAACATTGGTGAACTCAAAAATTTCACCGAAGGGTAGCATATTTAGGCTGAACAAAAGGGGTCTAGGAACTGACCCTTGAGGAACTAGCTATCATGGCCATTTGATCAGATGTAAAATGTAAAATGGTCACTCTTTCCTCCACAAATAGGACCTGAACCATTTTATGACATTTAGTCCTACCCAAATTTGCACTCTGTCCAATGATATATTATCATCTACTGGTATCAAATGCTGCACTTGAGATCCAATAGAACTGCCACCTAGTTCAAATGACAATCTAATGAGAATGGATCAAATACTAACATGAAAACAACTTGCAAAAAGGCAAACGGAGGAGGATTCAGCAATTTGCCTAGCAGTAAGTCTTCATTAATTTGATTCTTTTAAATTTAATCTAAATATGAAATTCAGAAAAAGTGGCCATTCTTGGAATATGAACAACAGTAGCTTGAATGTTCTGAGATGAATTTTTTTTTAAAGTTGGAATTGTTTTAATCAGTTGATAAATATGGGAGGATGATATAATGTTGTAAAAAGGTTTCCCTTCTTTTGGGAATTTTGACATGAACAGTGATGAATTTTTTAAAATATTTTTGGAATATGAAAAATGTCTCCAAAGGTGTTGCAAATGCATTGGACATTTTGACATTGCAAATGTTTGGGTAGGTTCAGAAATGTGGAAGGATAAGGTACATTTGTAATAAAATGGCTACATTCATGTATGAATGTGGTGGTGGAAAGTCTAAATTCTTGAAAAAATGTACATTTTTGCAATGTCAAAAGTTGTTCCATGATGTCTTGATTAAGCTGAACAATGTGACGCAGCAAATGGTTTTGAGTCGGTTGAAGTGCAACTTTTAGAAGGACAAGAATGTGGCGGAATGATAAAAATAAAGAATTTGTGTGCAGAATAACATAAGATGAAAATGACTTTTCAAGTACTTTGATATTCCACGATCTTAAATGGGATGCCTAATGGCACTATGCGTGTGCGTGTGTGTGTGTGTGTGTGTGTGTGTGTGTGTGTGCGCATGTGTGTGTGTGTGTGCGCATGTGTGTGTGTGTGTGTTAATCGTACATGAAATGCACTTGATAATACAGACAATAACCACTTTCGCAAAGCATTCAAAGAAGCCAAAACAAGCTTAACTAAAGCCAACAATTTTGAACTTGAGTTTTAAAGTGGACCGGCAAATCGGTCCTGTTATTAAATTCATGTCTGTTAAGTCCATCCATCTGGCCTCCCTTCATTGGCTCCCTGTACATTTTAGAGTTCATTTTAGGATACTTTTCTTTGTTTTCAAATCGTTACATGGTCTCACCACACTTTACCTCTCTGAGCTCCTCCACCCCTCCGGACCTTCTGGTGCCTCAGATCTGCGGACCAGATGCTACTGGAGGTACTAAAGATTAAGCAGAGGCTCGTAGGTGATGTAGCTTTTTATGTTGCCGGTCCTTCACTTTGGAATGAAACTCCCGCTAAACTTTAGGCAAGCCCCCTAGCTGTCCATTTTGAAAACACGTCTTATAAAACACATTTTTATTCTAGGGCTTTTGACTCAGCATGAAACTGTGCATTGTTGATTGATTTTCATGGTGTATACTCTTTTTGTATGATTCGTTTATTGTTGTAATTATCTTTGATTTTGTTTGTCAGATTTTTAGTCCAAGTACAGCACTTTGCATGCCGTTTTTCAAGTGCTCTATGAATTAAGTTGAGCAAAAGAGAGTATCGAAGACGACAAGTAGATTTGAAGAGCAAACTCGTGAACAAGCTGATGTTCGAATGAAATTTGATGTTGGGATGTATTATTATTAGTATTTTTAGTGTTTGTATTTTTGCAGACATGCTTGTTGAATCAATGTCTGGAGTCGCTGGTACAGTCCTCTGTTCAGCTGATGAGACAGTGCCTGCCTAAAACCCCTCTACCACTGACATCAGATCAATCCGCATACTCCTTCCCCTTGCCTAGAGGACAACATGAGGTTCTTGATATGGTTGCAACTTCAGGTAAAGACATGATCGTATTGCTAAATTGGTTACTGTTGTTGAGATGGTCTAACAGCCCAAGAAAATGTAACTTATGTATAAAAAGTAGTTCATATAGAGGGATTCGACCTTTGTGCTAAAAATAGTAACATATCCCACAATCCCATGAGGTCGACCATAATGGTGGACAACTCTGCCTTTTCATTACGAGCACCGGTACACTGCTAAAGCCTGGTTCACATGGCATGATTTTAAAATTGTCGATCGAATTACAAATTCAGAGACCCCACACATGAGGATTTAAAGAAAAAAAAAAACACTGACACAACAGTTTTTAACACGGCAAGATCAACACACCACACACGACCGATTCATTCAGACAGGAAATCTTGAAAAACCTCTCGAGATTAAACATGAATTCAGAGTGAGTGAACAAAATGGCGGACGAAGAGGCGGCAGGGGTCTCAGATCGTGTCTTGACAGTGGTGCTAGGTGGTAGATTACTTTTAATGAAAAAAAAGTGCCACAAAAAGAAAAGATGTTGGCTTGAAGCTCAGATATTTTGCATGCTCCAGAGCCTTTAAGTGGGGGGGTACCACTACCATGAATTTTGTATGAGCCTGTTTGATGAGTTTGTTTTTTAAAATAATATTGTTGAACTCCAATAAAAAAAAAAAGGCAGATTTTATCGGTTGCTTTTCATTAATTTGATTATTTTTATTATTGTTGCGTGTGAGGGAAAAGTGGTTAGGATTGCTCGACTGTCCGTGTTTTATGTTGTGTTGTGTTTATTATTTTACTTTATGTTAAATGTTTTTTTAAGCGCTTTGTTACAGCTGCAGCTGTTGTGAAAGTGCTATATAAATTGTATTGTATTGTATTGTATTGTATTGTATTGTCATTTCATTAACAGGGAGGTACCAACAATTTTGTCCACATCTTTATATTGTTTACTTGTTTCTTGTTGTAAAATGGGCAGGATTTTATTGTTGTTCTATTAATGTCATGAAGCTTGTTATGCAGTACAACTTCACTCACACTTTTTATTTTTTATTTATTTATTTTTTTTAAGATGACAGCAATGGTGAGATTGGTGATGATGATAAGGTGGAGGAAGATTACCAAGAGGCTCTGAGTAAAGACTATGTACGTTTAGGGACTTTATGATAATTGATTGGGATGTTTCCACTTCTGTTATAAAAAAACAAAAAAAACAAAAACAACACTTACTTTCTAGGTTTGTGAAAATTACTTTCTTTTTTCGCAGGTAAACAAATTAAAAGTTTGATGGTTTGACAGAAAAGACAAAAAAGAAAAACACATTTACTAATGTCTAAAAGACTTTTTTTCCCCGATGGTGTAATTGAGCATATAGTCCGCAAAGTCCACACATGCACAAAAAGGATTCTATGGACTTACACGAAACTAAAGATCTCAGGTTAAGCACCTCAAGTGAGGAACTAGGTTTGTCAGTACATTCCTGGACTCAGGGAAGGTTTACACATCCTGAGTTATTTTCATTGAGCGACTATGAATCTATTCAGAACCAAATTTGCATTTAAAAGATAGACGATTTAATTCCTTTGAAAAACTTGTTTCCTCAAACCAATTTTACTAAATTTCCTTCATCAATCTCCTTCAATTATCAGGGTTTTAGGTTATTTGATAATTACAGGCATACAGTGAAAAAAAACAATAACAACACCAAAACAAAACAAAAAAAAAATAATGCCACAAATGAAATTCTTACCAAATTTGCTCATTCACATAAATTTTCATACACTGTTCACCAATTTCTGGATTTGCATCAATACAAATTGTTTTTGTTCATTTGTATTAATATGACACCACAACACTTCAATAATACATTTAAATAGACAACCAAGGCTACTGATATCCTCTGACTTGAATTACTTATTTTAGTTCATTAATTATTATACAAAAGTTAAGTCACTAAAATTATAAATCCAACCTAAACACCACTAGTTTTTTTTCAACAATGCAGATTTTGAATATTTATTTGAAACCAGCGTAGAATTAAAGTGGATATCAGAAGTCATCATTTGATTTAAAAAAAAAAAATCAGGAATAACAGGTGTTAGCCACTAATTCATTGCCCATCCTATGGTTAGTTAATAAAATTATAACAATAATAAGAACCTCCAGAAAAATGAATTTGTTCTCATGCCTCAATAACACATCCATAAATGGAATTTATAATATATACACTGTTTACAAATGTTTCAGTAAATATGAAGAAGAACAGATGAAGACAAATGTCTGATAAAGAATCTTTCTTTTTGTAGGATGATGACTTGGAGACTGACTTGAACAAACTTTGTCTTCGCCCTGCGTCAGACAGACCCAAAGAGCTCCTACCACAATACAGCCGTCTCTGTCCTGAACTCTCTCATGACTTCCTGGTACTGTTTGTAAGAGTGTGGCATCTGGCATTGTACCATTAGGTCCTTGTACCATTAGGTCCAGCAAGATCGAGACCAGAGGTCACCAACATGGCATCTGTGGGAACTACCAGGTAGTCCCCACAGACACCCCAACGACCACATGAGTCGTCCAAATACCTGTTTTGAAAGAGGTCTCCGGTGATGGGACATGAAGATGTTTTTAGGACTGTTGTAGAAGTTACCATTTCGTCGCTGCCCTGTGAAAAACATGCACGTCCATTTTTGTCTTCTTTTTTTTTTTTACAATTTTTATGTTAATGGCATGACCAAAAAGTGGACATCCCATAAACGTATTTCTTTTTTTTAATGACAAAAATATTTATTTGATTCATAATATAACATGTAAAAAATGTAATTCAAATGAACAGGATCGACATCTGGCTTCTGCTGAGCTTGATCATTGGAATCAGGTGTGTAGCAACAGGGAGAGAAGGAAAACATGCACGACACCTATGTCTTAGGCATTACTGACACCTAGGGGTAGAAAGAGCACTAAAACATACCAACAGACAGTGGCGGCTCATTCCAAAATTTAATTTTCAGTGAGGAATTCAAATTCAAATTGTCAAGGTCAAGGTCAAGGTCAACTTTATTGTCAAATATGCTTTATGTATGACATGCAGCATAGATGAAATTTCTTCCTCTCAATCCTCAGTGCCAACATGCATGCAAACATGCTGTGCATTAAACACACGCAGCTAAGAAAAGAGCAGCTACACCAGGGGTGCCCAAACTTTTCGGACCGAAGATCTACTTTTCGTTCAACCAACCTCCAC